CTCTCTCTCTCTCTCTCTCTCTCTCTCTCTCTCTCTCTCGTCTTCTCTACCCACGTCTTCCTTCCCATACACGAAGACCACCACCACCTCCGCTGACCTCGTCCAATTCCAAGCCCGGCTATCCCACTGCCATCAGCAGCGCCCTGCTTCCTCTCGACGCCCGCGTGCGCCTCCACACTAGCGCTGGCATAGTAGCCCACGAGTGCTCGCTCCAGCAGCGCTGCCGCATCTACACGCAAGTGCCTGAATGCATCCCCCTTGGCCAGGCCCTTTGCTATATGCAAAGTGGCCTGGCTGGTTGGCTGCCTGGCCTGGCCTCGCGTGTGCCCAGCAGCTTCAGGTTGGGCCAAAGTGTCGGCACCCTGGCCCGTTGAGACAATGGCCTGGGACTGAATTGGTTAGGTGTGCGCCCAACCACCCAGGCGCAAACGTGCGGTGTACCCTGCTTCAACCACGTTGCTGGAAGGGCCTAGAAGGCCCAGGAATATTTAAACTTCTCACAAGCAAGGCAGCTGTAACCAACTGGCATGTGGAAACTATCTGGCGCCCACCAAGATTTGCAAAAAGTTGACGAACTGAGGCCTCATAGGAAATCCATGCAGGTATGCCGAGGGTCAATATCCTCGCGCCTGGGCAACATCGGACTAAATTTTTGCCTTCTTGCCGTGCCTCCAGGGAACCTCCCCCAACTCTTCGGGACCAGCCTGTTTTCCCTAATTTCCCAACGCTGGCAGAGGTACTAGTGATTTAAGGGGTGAAATGCGGGGTACTGTGTAACTCTCGTTTTCTAGTTCCTTTTTCTATCTCACGTGGTTAATAGGTGGTGTCATTTTCGTCAAAGTCTTCACTGAAACTGCCATATTGCCTCAACTTTTTTTTGCTTTTTTTCTTGATTTCTTTTTTTGTGATATGTTTGTGCTGTAGGGTATTAAAACGAGGGATTTGAGGCGACCCTTCCTCCAAACTCGTTTGTACTATCTTTTTCCCTAGTTCGTAATTCCGTTGTCGTTGTCATTGTCGTTGTTGTCGTTGTCCTTGGTGTTGTTGTTGCTGTTGTTATTGCTTACTGATCGGAACAGGTACGACTCTAGATCTTCGCCAAAAGGCCGAGAAAACTTAGGAAAGTATAAATTGTTTTAATTTTCAATTTTGTATTATTTCGCAGCTGCGACCGGCAGGGACCCGCGTGGACCTGCCCTAGCCAGGTCTTCCCAGGGACCCATACCAGGGCAGCCAAAGCAAAAGCGGGCTGCCTGGCTCACAGGCTATTGATTCTGATTAAAAACAATTACCACTGCAGTGTTCCTGTATAATTTACTATTATTTTATTGTTATTATTATTATTTTTTTATTATTATTATTATTATTATTATAATCAGGGTGACCGGCGTTCGGGACGGGCCGAACGCCCGAACCCGAACGCCCGAACGTGTGGGACCCCTTGGGGATGCGTTCGGCCGCTCGGGCTGAACGCGGACCCAAAAAAA